TAAAGTGCAGTGACTTGCTAGTCTATGCCCTTGCCATGGTTCTAGGGAAAGTGAGCCTTAAGTTCAAGGGCTACCGGTGAGTTTGAGGGGAAGACCTTTTAAGAAAATTGAAAAATACACCAGTGAGAAAAAGACCAGAGAAGTTGCTCCAGTGAATTTTATTATTTTCTTTTCATCATGACCTGATGGTAACAAGGGCTAGCTATCCTATGGGAATTACATTGGGAAGCCTTACCCCTTTTGCTGATTGGAAAGCCTTAACCCTACCTGATCTTGCTCCTTCAGACCACTTTTTGCTTCCTAAACCGAAAGAACCCTGAGTAGGAGCATAATTGGTGGCCCGTGAGGATGCCCAAACTGCCATTTTGACGTGGTGTGAGTCAAAGAACACAGAATTCTTCAGGGAAGGGTTAGAGAGATGGAAACTCTACCTCCAGAAGTGTGTAGACCTAGGTGGGGGAATCTTTGGAGAAGCCATGTGTCTATTAGTCTGGGTAGACTAGAGAAACAAATTCATAGAGACTCATGTGAATAAGAAAGAGGTTTATATACAAGAGCAATTGAATATTGAGAAAACATCCCAGCCCAGTCTAGATCAACTCCCTAAGTCTGATACTAGCTCATATGTCTGATACTAATCTATAAAGTCTTCTTCAGACTCACGAAACACATGCAATGACGCCAAATGCAGGACGATCACAGGCCCGTGGGTTGGAAGTCTTCTGGATCCAGTGGTGTTGTATGCATCTCAGTGCTGGCAGGGGTCTCCACGCGGCTCCTCCAGCACCCAGTGCTGCATCGGGGTAGATCAATGTGGCTTCTACTTAGGGATGTCTTGTAGGGAGTCGGCCTTGTCAGTAGAGAGTCTCCAAGGGAGTAAGCTGAGAGAGAGAAGTCTCTCCTGCCTCCAAAGAGGAAACTACAGGAGTTCCCAGAATTCTCAGGAGAAGGCCATGCCCACACAGAGGCCTCATTGGTTATGACCCGATTGACAGACTAGACTCCACCCCTTCACTCTGAATCCTCTCAAGTCCCACTCCACCCCTTCACTCTGAATCCTCTCAAGTCCCAAATTGACAACAGATTATGTAACTACCACAGTGTCCAAAAGTTCTGATATTTCAGTTTAATAAAATTTCTGGGTTTTTTTAGTAAAACTTTTTGATTTACCCTTGGAAGTGTATATATGAAGACCTTCTAAAAGTCTATGGGAAAATGGAATGAAAAGAGAGTGGAATTTGCCCATGAACTAACACCCCCCCACCCCACCCCTGCAAACCATTTTATTGGGAGCTAATACAGATATCCTATCATTCTATAGTTTAATCACATCAGGCAGTATTGCTACCACCATCAGTTCCCAAACAGTCTCTTCCTTCTTGAACTCCTTGACATCAGCTCCCTTTTACCACCCCTCCCCACCAACCCCGTGAACTTCGTGAAGTCGCTTGTGTTTTCAGAAAACATTTCTGGAGGAATACCAAAAGGTGGCTGTGAGGTTGGGGAGAGAGGGAGAGGTGTATGGAGTGAGTGGCTGAACACATGTTAGTGCTTCGAGTAGTTCTTGGCCATTGTAAGAGCTATGTCCATGTTGGATGCTGTCATTTCACCTTAGTAGATGGGTAAGGCAAGGGGTGTAGAGATAGGAGATAGTGGAGGATCCGAGGACAACAGCCCCCCACTGTGCCTGAGAGAGGAAGAGGAGGCGCCTTCCAGAGAAAGGCAGAAAAAGCTATTGGGAGCATGGAACCAGAGAATGATGACTTTGAAAACTGGGTTGAGGAGTGAGCACTTTTTAGTGCCTTAGAAGATTCAGCACGTAGTAGGAGGTACAACGAGCACAGGAAGGATGTGGGTCAGCTTCCTCTAAGTGGGGCAATGGGTTTCATTTCTGAGCCATAACTGGAGTCTTTTCCCCACTCTTCTTTTCTTTCTTCTTCTTCCAACCTGCATGGTCTGACTGACCTCTAACCAAGATGATCTCCCACTCCCCGGGCACAACTGCACTTCCAGTTAGGGTTCTGAGGTGGTTGTCTAGTACCATGTCAGCACTTTAGCCCCAGGGCTCCATTTCTCTAGGCAGAGAGCACTCTGTGATATCTGTAGTTGGCTCTCATGTCTGCATGTAGTTACCAGCTCCTTCAAAGCCAGCTATCTGTCCTGCTTTTCTGTCCCTATAGAGAGAGGGGAGCGGAGACCTCAGCTGGATGGCTTTGATGGGCTACCAGCCGGGCCTTTTGTCTGTCAGAAGCTAACTCCCTTCCCTCTTCTGGCTGTGGCCTCTCAGCATGTAGAGCTGATTCTTGAGCGGATGAACTATAGACTCTAGGGAGAGGATGCTCATGGTACATGTCGAAAACACAGGGGACTCAGCAGGTGGGCACACTGTAAGCAGAAATGGGAGTCTAGATTTTTCAAACCAGATAGCTTTTCCTTGTGCTTGGTCCCTTTGCAAGGAATCCCACTTTCCTTTCACCAAGAGCTCCTCTCAGTGACTCTGGGTTCTCATGGATCTGTCCCTGAAACAAGGGAACCCCAAGCCAGGCTTTTCTCCCACGGAGAGCTTTATGATTCTGGCTCTTTCTTCCCTCTGTCCAGCTCCTCTTATTCCTGCTGTCTTTTAAACAAACAAACAAACAAACAAACAAACAAACAAAGCAAAATGCATGCCATGGAATTGATTCCAACTCATAATAACCCCATGCCGTCTTTCATCTCCCCGAAGTTCAGGAGGCAGAGTCAGTTTTCAAGGTCCTTCTGTACCTATTATCTGACAGGTGAAATTGTGCAAGCAGACCAGTCAGTGATCATGAACGAATTCAATACCCCTCAACTGGTCATGCATCTGCAGTGTTGCCTCTGGTTGAACACCTTTGCTTCTGGCGTATCTGGATGAATGTGCATTGATTCACTGTTCCAATAATCAATTATTTTGCAGGTCTGGTTTATCAGGAAAGGGGTGTGTCAGGGTTGTATCCTTTCGCCACGCTTGTGCCATCTGTGTGCTGAGCAAATAGTTTGAGAAGCTGGATTCTATGAGGAAGAACTGTGCATCAGGATTGAAGGAAGGCTTGTTAACAACCCGTGCTATGTAGACGACGCAACCTAGCTTGCTGAAAGCGAAGAGAATTTGAAGCACGTGCTGATGAAGACCACAGAATGCCTTCAATATGGATTGTACTTCAGTGGAAAGAAAACCAATCCTCACACCTACCAATAAGTTACGTCATGAACAATGGAGAGCAAATTGAAGTTGTCAAGCATTTCCTCTTGCTTGGATCCATGATCAGTGCTCATGGAAGCAGCAAAGAGATCAAAGGGTGCCTGGCACTGGGTACCTCTGCCGCACAAGCCCTCTGTAAGGTGTTGAAGAGCAAGGGGGTCACTTTGAGGAGGAAGGGGTGGTGTTGGGCCAGTTGACTAGAGAAACACATTCAGCGACACTCACATGTATGAGAGAGAGCTTTACATCAAGAAGTAATTATACATCTAGCAAATATCCCAACCCAGGCCAGATCGAGTCCATAAGTTCAATACGACCCCGTAAGTCCGATACTAATCCATAAGTCCCTCTTTGAACGCATTCAGCCACATGCAATGATGCAGAGGATCAGAGGCTGGTGGGTGCAAAGGTGAGTGGCTCCAGTGGGGGTAGACACAGCACAGGGCTCTGGCAGGTCTCAGAGTGGCTCGCCAGAAGGAAGGTGAAGGCAGAGAGAGGGGGGGCCAGCCTCCAGAAAGCTCTTCATCTATGTCCCACCTCCAAAGGAGATCATCAAGCTGCAACCTGATTGACAGGCTGAACTCCACCTAGATCTCCTTGCAGGTGCCATGTTGGCACAAAACAACCGAACTATCCCAGGGCTGCCTGACCTAAAACATGGTGTTTCATTCACTTCATATACATGAGAAAGCTGGATAATGAATACAGGAGACCAGAAAGAATTAATATCTTTGAGACTGGAGGAACCACTGAGGATATGACCCTTAGTCACCCTTCAGGTTAGACATGAACTCACTCCCATGACTCAGTTTTCTCTAAGGGGAACAGTCACAGTAGGGAGGCACACACTCCGGAGAATAACCAACCATGAGAACAAAAGGGCAGCATTGACCCAAGGAGTTCGGAAAGTTCCAGCGCGTTAGGAAAGGAGCAATGGAAGCAGCAAGCACAGGGAGGAAGTGGGATAAGTGATGGGACATTATGGGAATTACAATCATTGATATGAAACCAAGTATGTATGAATTGTTGAATGGGAAACTGAACTGCCGTATAAACCTTCACCCAGTCTACATAAAAAGTAAAAAAACCAACAACATGATGCACTTCCAGGTATTAAAATGCAGAAGTTAACAGGTTAGCTGTGTGTAGTGTGTGTGTATTTGTTTCTACAGAAAGACCCGGAAGGGCATCTGAAGGAGCATTCTGTTTGAGACACTGTCGATGAGTTGATTCTGACTCACATTGACCCTACAGGGCAGGGTAGAACTGCCCCCGTGGGTTTCCCAGACTGTAACTCCCTGGAAATAGAGAGCCTTTCTCTCAATCCTCCCAGAGCAGCATATTAGAAAACCAATCAGCTGGTACCTGAGCTTACAGACCCGGTGAGCTGCAGTCTTGCCTCCAAAGGCTATGGTTTCCCTGACTAAAGCACTTCCTTGGTTTACACTTGCACAATGCCGTGTTTCCCACCACCATCGGAGTGCTTGGAATATCTGCTACTCCCTGAATGGAGTAATCAGAGGAACGAGGTAGTCCCCAGATAAGACTATGGGTTAAAACAAGGTCAAGTATTTAGGCTTACTTGAATTTAGGGCTTGGCCAAATCATGTGGCTAAATTTGTTTTCTCTTTTTTTCCTGGTCACTCATGTAACAGAACTCCTCCTCCTGCACATCTCCGCCCCCGCTCTCCTCTCAAAGCCCGTTGCTCACTTGTGGCATAAAACTAAAACAGCAACAACAACAACAACAACAACACAAAAAAGCATTGGGAAATCTAGCCTGGCCTCAGACTGTAAATCCAGAAACCTTAAGAACCTGATTTTTAGACAGGTAACAAATCCAATTTTCTTTTTTTAAAGGTGTTTCTTCTTTCGTTAAACTAAGCTAGCTTGCCTCTGCGTGGACTTTCATTCTGATGGACTTACTGCTTTGGTTAGTTCTTTTTGAGGGGGGTGGTGGTAATTATTTGAAATGAGGATGGGCTGGTGCTGTGTATGTAGCTGACTTAAAACCTGCTGCTCTTAAGCCCTTGGCTTGCCGGCGCTGAGCGTGAGCGCTGAGATTCCTCTTGGCTGCCTGTGTCACTGCCTTCACTGCAGCTACTTTCACTTTCATCGCTGAGTGACAAGAGCAAAATCTAGGAACTGCACGTGACGCTGCTCAGTCTCCCTGTAGTAAGAAAAACATAATTGGGGAAGAGAACACAGATGGAAATAGCAGGATCCATAAAAGAGAAACGCGGTAGGTAGTGGAGTCAGAAATGAATCAAAAAAGGGATTCAAACAAAATACATTCATTGGGTTGGTGAAAAGTCAGTAGTGAATTTGTGTGCGTGTGTGCCCAGGAGGAGCGATGGACAGGGTCCTCGGCGTGCTAATGGATAGCAGACTGACCCGGTATTACTTTAACCGCAGTGACTGATGTAATAGTGCACGAGTGAGGTGAGGGGTACCGGTGGTTAAGAGCTGCAGGTGAAAGGCTGCAAGCTTGAACTCACCCCGAAAAACTCAACACCCAACTCACTGCCGTAGAGTTCATGCCGACTCACCGTGACTCTACTTAATAGGGTGAGTTTCCCAGACTGCAACTCTTCACAGGAGTGAAAGCCCGTCTTTCTCCTGAGGAGCGGCTGGTGGTTTCCAATTGCAGACCTTTCGAATTGCAGCCCGATAAGTAACCGCCAGGACTCCTCCATCCACCCAGAGGTGCCCGGCAAGACCTGCTTCTGAAAGGTTGTCCCAGCCCTCCGAAAACCTCATGTTGTTAGGCTGTTAGCTGCCCCCGGACGGTTCTGACCGGATCAACTATTTGCATAACAGAAGGAAACACTGTCATGCCCTGTGCCATCCTCACAAGGATTCTTGCACCCCTGGGCCATTCCATGTTGTTGGGGGCCTTCTTCTTTTCGCTGCCGCCCTACTTCACCAAGCAGGATGTCCTTCTCCAGGGACTGGTCTCTCCTGACAACAAGTCCAAAGTATGAGTCTCACTGTCCCATCAAGCAGTTCTGTTCAGCACAAGGGGGTGGCCGTAAGTCAGTGATGCACCAGCAGCCAACAAACACAATCACGATGAAAGTCAAGCTACATGTGTTGCAGTGTTGCTGACTCGGATGCACAGCGACCCCATCTAGCAGAGTAAAACTGCTGTCATCGTGACAGAAGCAGGCTGCTGTATCTTCACCCGTGGGGCCGCTGCTGGGTTCGAACCCCGACCTTTTGAATAGAAGCTGAACACTTAACCAAGGTTCCTTCAAAAAAAGCTCAAGGGCTACTTTCAAAAGGGGTGATTCCTTTTACATAAATCGATTTGAAGCTATCAAACCTGAGATTTTTTTTGTATCAGGTTAACATTTAGTGTTATAGTGTTAGCATTTAGTGTTATATACAACTTATTTGCTTAACATTTCAGCCAGAGTAAGAAATGCAATCTCAGTTCATCATAACAAGTGATAGTTTTGTATTCTAGGTCTAGCCTCAGAGACAAATGGGTGTTAGTGGACCATTTGGCTTCCTACCTGAATGAGATTGCCCAGAAACCACGGCTTCTGGATGGGAGCAGTAACTCATTGGTGTAAATGACATCATCCTTTATCCGTGATAAGCTTGCCTCCCTGAAATGATCAGATAGAAGGAAACCCCTTGTTCCTTAACTCTTGTGGCCTTCACCACCCATGTCCAAGGTGTTGTCCCAGTGGGTGGAACAAAGGGCAAAGTCTAATTCTTAACTAATAATCATTATTAAAAACCAGAATGGAGTTCACTGCCATCAAATTGATTCTGACGCGGAGTGGCCCTCTGTAAGGTTCCCCAGGCTGTACATCTATAGGGTCACTATGAGTCAGGTGGACTCTGTGGCCGTGTATGTAATCGTTCATAGCAAGCATGGATTACTGCTTGCTATGCAGCTGGCATCAGGAGCCCTGGGAGTGCTTCGGGGGACACATTGGGTGGCTAATGAGAAGTCTGCAGTTCAAACCTACTAGCAGCCACTTGGTGGGAGAAAGTGAGGCTGCGACTCCCGTTACAGTTTCATCTCATGGGCAGTTTCAGAAGCCCCCTGGGGCAGTTCTCCGCTGCCCTGTCAGTTGGTGGATTTTGGGTACGAGGCAATCACTCGAGTGGGTCTTTTCTATACACCAGTTCATTCCTCACAACACCTATATAGAACTAGGCTCTGTTTATAGATGGGGATACTGAGGCACACAGAGGGGTAGCAGGGGCCCAGGGCCTGCTCAGCAGAATTAGAGCCCTGGTGGCATGACTCCAGAGATGTGCCTGCACCTGTACCTCATCATGCCCTTTCTCAAAGGTGCCTCACCCCTGCGAGGGTTCACAAGCAGAGACTTTCTGTCAGCCCCAAAGGTTGATTGCCTTTTGCCCTTTGCCCCAGGATGGTCAGGCAGCTTTATGGTCCCACACGTGGGAATTACATCAGGTCACCTGTGCCTCGCTCGTCTAGTGCCCTGAGCTGCCGAGTAATTTCGGAGTGCTCTTCTGCCGTGAGGCCATTCATCATGACTGCAAACGTGCATCGCCTCTCATGTGCCTGGTGCTGGAATAGATCCCGGCGATCCAAGACAGACAAGAAGAACCCTTACCCAATTTATAATAAAATATCGTTATGTAAAAACCAAAACAAAACAGACAAGCAGAATGAGAGGCTGTGCTAGCTTGTGGGGCTATAGTGATTCTGCAGAGAAGGGTCAAACCGCTGTGGTGAGCGCTGTGAAGACGAGGAGAAGGAGAAGGGGAAGAATCCGTAGGGGGAGTTGACTTTGTTGGAGGGAGTTAGGGTGAGCCCACTGGGTCAGTGAGGTTGGAGCTGAGATCTGAAAAGTGAGTGGTGGTGTGTTAGTCCGGGTAGACTAGAGAAATAAATTCATAGACTTTCATATGTGTATAAGAAAGAGCTTATATTTTATGTAATTGTATGTTAAGAAAACATCCCAGCCCAGTCCAGATCAAGTCCTTAAGTCCGATATTAGCCCGTATGTCCAATACCAGTCTATCGTTCCTCTCCAGACTCAAACGCAACACATGCAATGACACTGAATGCAGAAGGATCACAGGCCGGTGAGGGGAAAGTCTGTCTTGTGGATGCAGTGGGGGTGGAAACATGTCAGTGCTGGCGTGGGTCTCCACGTGGCTCCTCCAGCTCCAGGGCTGTGGTTCCATCGGCTTAGCTCCATGTGGCTTGTCCACAGGAATGTCTTGCAGAGAAAGAGTGTGTCCCACCTCCAGGGAGGAAGACTGGAGTTCCCAGAACCCTCAGGAGAAGGCCATGCCCACACAGAAGCATTGTTGGCTATGACCTGATTGACAGGTTAGACTCCACCCCTTTACAAGTTGACAGGAGATGATTTAACTGCCACAGGTGGTTATCTAGTGATGGATAAATCTAAATTCCAGCACTGCCTCCCTACCCCACCCAAATTATAATTTTTTTTTGGCTTGAATTTTTTATTGTGATTAGGTGAAGGTTGACAGAGCAGTTTTACCTTCTGCAGGTATACACATTGTGTTTCCACTCATCCTTCTTGTCCCCTTCAATGTACCAAGGCTTACCCCACTTCTTCTCTGGCTTCCAGTTTCCATTCACCCTCGTTCCTAACCCTGTACCCTTAAAGGGTTGCTTGTTCTAACATACAGGGGTATACAGTAGCTCCTTTGATTACCATTTGTATTTTCTGTGAATTTCCCCAGGGATTCAAGAAATAGGCTTTTTCCATAAACCGTATCTTATTCTGATTAGCAAGAGCTGCGAAGTACTTGAAAGAAAAAAAGGGGGTCTGGAAAACATGGGATTTCATGATGGGCTCCAGGTAGAGCAGGTGGCTTTGGCACGGAAAGATCCAAGACCAAGCTGTTGGTGCGAATCACGTCCAGGATGCATCTTTCTTGAGTGTGATTATAATTTATAGGAAAGATACTAGAAATTTAAGACACAGCTTTATGAGCTCTCCTGTCCCCGATTTCTCAGGGCTGTTGTTATTGTAAGGTGCTGTCCCGTTGGCTTTTGACTCGCAGCAACCTTGTGTCCAATAGAATGAAACTCTGCCTGGCCCTGGGCCATCCCCACAATCACTGTGATGTTTGAGCCCATGGTTGCAGCCACCGTGTCAATCCATCTCCTCGACAGCCTTCTTCTTTTTGACCGCCCCTCTCCTTTCCCGAGCATGATGTCCTTCTCCAGGAACTGGTCTCTCCTCATGTCTCAAGTACGTGAGCGGAAGTCCCGCCATCCTCACTTCTGAGGAGTACGCTGTACTTCTTCCTAGACCAGTGTGTCTGTTCTCCGGCAGTCCGTGGTCCTTTCAGTAGTCTTCGCCAACACGGTAATTAAAATATGTCACCTCTGCTTCGGTCTTCCTTATTTATCGCCCGACCTTCACATGCCTGTGAGGTGATTAAAAATACCCCACCTTAGTCTTCAAAGTGACATCCTTGCTCTTCAATACTTTAAAGAGCTCTCGTGTAATACATTGTTTGATTTCTTGATTGGTGCTTCCATGAGCAAGCAAAATGAAATCCTGCACAACTTTGTTCTTTTCTCCACTTATCATGGTTTTGTCTGTTGAGCCAGTTGAGAAGATTGTGGTTTTCTTTACACTGAGCTGTAATCCATGCTGAAGGCTGCAAACCTTGATCTTCAGCAGCTTCCAGTCCTCCTCACTCGCTGTAAGCAAGGTGTGTCATTTGCATGCTGCAGGTTGTTAATAAGCCGTCCTCCAACCCTGATCCCACATTCATCTTAATATAATCCAGCTTCTCTGATTATTTGCTTAACATAGAGGTTGAATAAGTATGATAAGAGGATGGAACCCTGAT